GGTGCTGGGGGATTGAACCGCGGTCCCTGATGCTTTGCCAAGCTTGTTCTAAGTAGGTGCCTTAGACCACTGAGCCATCTCTCCAGCCCCTCATTGTTACTTTAAAAATAGAGTTTCAGGTGCCAATAAGTGAAACCAAGGGCCAGAGAGATAGCTCAGTGGCATAAGCGCCTGGCAAGATCAAGGTCCTGAGTTCAAACTTCCAGTACTGCAAAAAATTAAGTAAGTGAAATCACAGTCCTTTCAATGTGAACTTGGCTGTGCTGCTATAAAGAACAATGGTTCTGACATTAGGAACCACAAAGTCCCTCTTGGGTCTGCCATTTATTAACTCTATAATCTACAGCAAATGACTCAAATTTCCTAGGACTCAAAATACCCATCTTTAAAGTGAGGGTGACAAGGCATAGTGGCACATACCTGAAATTCCCAAAAAGGAAGTAGAGGCAAGAGAGACCTAAGTTTGAGCTCAGCCTGGGCAACTGCGCAAAACCTTTCTCAAAATAAAAAACAGAAGCCAGAAGCAGTGGAACACACCTGTAATTACAGCTTTCTGGGAAAATCACAGTTCCAGCCTAGCCTGCACAACACAGAAACTTACCAAAACCCTAAAAAAAGGTTTGAGGATGCAGCTCATTGGAAAAGTCATGGGTTCCAATCACCAGTACAGACAAAAAGGGAGGGATGGGAGTGCCAGGAATATAGCTCAGGAGAATGCCCCTGGGTTTAATCCTCAGAACACCAAAAAAAAATTTAACTAAGTAAATAAAAAGAGGCTAGTAAATGCCAGTCTCAAAGAGATGTTCAGAAGCTTAATTGAGAAAACACATGAATAGTACTTGCCACAGTGTCTGGGACACAGAAAATAGTCAAAATAAATTATTTAAGGAAAAAGGAAGACCACAAGAAGTATGACAGGAGTTATAGAAATGCTATAACAGATCACAGAACATCAACTATAGAGTAAGCACAAAAGAACATACAAATTTTCAGAAGGGTAACATGGAGAAGGCAAAATTTATTTAAATCTGTACATTCTAGAAGTGTAAACATATAAAAATAATCTAAAGCATATAGCAATAAAATTATAATTTAAAAACTAGTGAAATGTCTAATAAGGAAATGGATAAATAATGGTCTAACCATATGGTATTCTACAATTATTAAGCTACTTATTGACATATATACTACAGGAGTTCTTTTTGAACATTGCTAGGGATCAAACTCAGGGTCTCACGCATATTAAGCAAGTACTCTACCACAAAACTACACATGATATATGCTATCCAGCCCCACTATGTGTGTGTGTGTGTGTGTGTGTGTGTGTGTGTGTGTGTTCCGGGTCTCACTATTAGATTGGACTTGTAGTGATCCACCAGTTTATAGCCTCCCAAGAGCTGGGATTACAGGCGCTCACCACCACACCCAGTCTCAATTGCCATCTCAGCACGCCCCAGGGGCAGGGCCGGCATGGTAGGCCCGGGAATCAAACCCCCAGCCCCTGCATCTGCCTAAGCAGGTGCTTTCATCCACTGAGTTATTTGACTGGCCCTACATTTTTATTTATTTATTTATTTTTTGGCCCTATATTTTTAAATCAGATATTTTTTCTATACTTACCATATCACATAAAAATATAGAAAAAAATTAAGTGCTAACAAGTTACTTATGCATATTATAAATTATTTTAATTATACCTTTAAACTTCACTAGAAATTTTCAAAAATTTCTGTTACAAATATCTACTGTATTGTTTTTATAGTATTTAAGCATTTAAGTTATTTTTAAGCATTTTGTTGTTTTTAAGGTTACATATACAAACACAGATAAACAGAACTTATGATTACAATTTGGAGCTTACCTTGCAGCTCACTTTTAATAAGGCAACTTTCCATCATGTACAATAGCACAGTGACCATAATATCCAGCAGCTGACATTCTTCTGTCACCTGTCTGGCTAGTTCCTCATTGCTAAACAACTGAACACTGATATGCACAATTCTGTTGGACATTGTATCTGATTCATGACTTTTCTTCAGTGTTTTCATAATGAAAGCATAATGCTGAACAAAAGTTTTTGTAAAAGCGACCTGTAATTTTTAAACAAAGAAAAAAACTCATTGATTTTGAAATTTTACTATTTTCAATGTAATATATCATCATTCTAAAGCTATTACTAGCTTCTGATGATACCCAAAGTAAATGAAAAACTAATTCAACAATGATGGTAATTTTAAGTCATATTTTTACCTTTTTTTGAGATATTGGCAAAAACTTCTGAATTTTAAATAATTTCAGTTTTAAAGCTATTATAATCAGATGGACTTTTTGTTTCTTTTTTCTTGAAACAGGCTTTCACTATGTAGTCCAGGCTGCCCTTGAACACACTATAGTCTCAAATAATATCCTCCTTCCTCAGCCTCCCAAGTGCAACACTGTGTGGTTTAAGATTATAAAAGTTCACTTTGCTTACAACTGTATCAATTAACTAGTGTCAATGTATGTGTCTTGTGTGCTACCTATTTTAACAACAAAACCTAGTCTTACTAATGTCTTCATAAGAAATAACTCCTATTTGACCTGAAAATCAATTAATAACTTGGCTGACCCTATCAGATACAAAAGTTACATTTCTTGGTAGATAGGTCTTGCTATATCTTGGTCTTAACCATCCAGCAGAAAAGTATAAAAATGAGGTATATAAAGTAAA